AAATATGTGAACACTATCTGTAAACATGTGTCTGTAAGTCTTAAGTAAACAAGTCCAAACATTGTCAACATTCTCTGTAAACACGTGTCTGTAAGTCTCAAGTGAAGAAACTTAAATATGTGAACACTATCTGTAAACATGTGTCTGTAAGTCTTAAGTAAAGAAGTCCAAACATTGTCAACATTCTCTGTAAACACGTGTCTATGAGTCTTAAGTAAACAAGTCCAAACATTTTCGATGACGAGGAACCCACTTGTACATTTGCTGTTGTATTAAAGTTTTTCTTCATTACCCATTCAAGCCGTCTCCAGCCATTATAAGTCCAAACATTGTCAACATTCTCTGTAAACACGTGTCTGTAAGTCTCAAGTGAAGAAACTTAAATATGTGAACACTATCTGTAAACATGTGTCTGTAAGTCTTAAGTAAAGAAGTCCAAACATTGTCAACTCTTACCCCCAACTTTCTATAAGCAGGCATCGAATCAAGATAATTTCAAACCGTACAATTTTAATCTTAGTTTAAACGGTACGGAAGATAGATAAACCTGATCATGATGCAAAAGCAACATACTGCTTTATAGAAATGTAAAGAGAAACTCTTTAATTTCTAACATTTTCAATCAAGAATACATTTGGTTACTGATTAATTATTTTGATTCTTTCTTTGAAACATTTTACTTCTATGTTGTAGAAGCTTTACGTAGCTGTACATTTCCTTCTATCATTTAATAACATTTCAGTAATTTAAGTATTCTTCAAACCCTTTAACAGAGGTAGCTTATATCTTCTGGTGGGTAATCTTGTGTAAAGCCGAGGTATATCTTTAAAGACCACACAAAATTGGTGCATATCGGACGTAAAGTGCTAAGTAATCTTTACTGATTTGCTAAGAGAAATGCGTTTTACTGGATTGTTCAGAAAATCAATACAGTTTAATAGCGATTCAAATTGAACTTGTTTGTATCGTTGGAGTGGAGAAGAGGTTGGTGTTGTATTGTACAGCCCGAGGAAAGAAAAACTGATAAAGAGACCTTAAAGATTAAAGTTGAATATTGTGTTGACATACAAATCTTTTTACCAAATAAGTGAGTAGAAGGACGAACGCTGATAAATTGAGAACTTGCGTGTGTTACAAGTACGTCTATAGACCCTCAACTCGGATACGTATCATCACGACGCTGCCAAACTAATTATGTTAAAGACCACGCATTACGTAAATGCTGGTTTTATTATTGTATTGAACCATCCTGAAGTATCTTTAAGATTGACTTTAATCACATAATAAACAATGATAGATAAGCAGCGCGTTTCAGAATTTGACTTCGGTTTGCTATAAAGTTATTAAAACTATCCATACAATATTGTTGTTTTTTTGTTTTGTTTTTTGCACAGTTTCAATAGTCACTTATGCAGTATTGAGTAATGTGGGGACTAAATTGTAAATGACATAAAGAAATGTCCGGGGTTTTTGTGTACTCCTCCCCCAGGAACAACAACACCTGTTTTAATGAAGTAATTGGTCTTATGCACAATCTGATCAAATTAATCAACTGCTTTTAGATCTTTAGTGTCGATCCAATGAGAGAAAGAAGCACATTCTATTAGTACAATGTGATGTGGAGCGTTTATTATGTCAGTTTAATTCAAATCTGGGCCTAGTAGTTAGTGTGTCAGACTGCAAATGAGATGGTTCAAGGTTCGAGCCAGGGAAAATGATCTGTGGTTCTAGTTGTGAGGACGTCAACAGTAAATGTAAATCCCACTATTCAATTAAGAGCAGTTGTATCGACGGCAGGTGCTAATGAATAGTTGTCCTTCCTCTGGGCAGCATTTCGAAACTAAGGATAGGAACGATGGAACATTTGACTTGGTCGTTTCACCCAGTTTTGCATTAGGTGTCATTCAGGTTGAAAATACTATCCGCCAAATATCATCAGAACTCTGAATAGAAGGCCTCTTTTTTTTCACCCCATTAACATATAATTTAGAAATATATATCTATTGGAAGCCATTGTTATAAATTTGGACCTATCTTATATTTTCAGACTCATGGCAAGTGTTGGAAGTCTGATTACTTGTTTTAATGTCAAAAACATTGTACAGATTGCTAACTGCTATATCAATTTTGAAAACATTATTAAACTGACTGCGAGTATTAATGTCAAAACTCGAAAATTAAATTATGAACTAAATATGCATAAGTTTATCATTTAAAATTATCTTTCTGTTACAGTTTCCATTGTTGAAGGCGAGGTGGTTCCTTATTACGTGAAAACTAGAACGGACGCCCTATGCATAACTTCATCAGTACCTAGACTGTGCTTTAAAAGTTTTAAAATGTATATGGCTTGAGACTAGCATGTTAGAGATAATGTACTCTATAACACCTCGATTTCCATCACACTTGAAGTTCAAGCGAGAGCCAGTCCATCTATAATTAATGCTGATTGTTCACTTGAACGTAAGTTAATGTTGAATTTTGACCTGCTCCTCATAAAAATGAATTACTTTCAGTTATACTCAAAGCTCGAGAAAACCAGTTGAGCTATACGAATATGAATCCTGTTCAACACAAGAAATGGATTCTTTCTAGTCACACCTGAAGTTCAAAAAGAACCAGTTATGGTATACGAGTATAAATTCTGCTTGACACAGGAAAAGGAATACACTACAGTCACATTTGAAGCTTAAGAATCAGCTGAGATATACGAATATTCATGCTATTCCATGCAAAAATATACTCCTTAAGTTCTCAGACGTAGTTCATATGAATTTCTGCGATCTGACCAATAAACAGGCACTGAGAAACCGTCGTCTTCGTGCATTAGCTGTATGATGGAAAGTGTGCAGTAAGAAGTGTTGTGTTTCTGACATAACATCGCTATGACGGAGCCATTTGCAATAAAAACTACGATGTATGACTATTATCAAGATGCACAATCACCAAATAGAGCATGATCAGAGGTGGCGACAAGGTCTGTAACGACATGGTAAGGCTCCAAATTTTTTCCATATAACGTACGCAATCTCTGTACCAACAAAACTATAAAGATTAATTCATAAAACGCCTGTATTATAAAACTGACGAAAGTACCTACACCAAGTTTGTCAAAATGAAAACAACTGAGTACTATTTTTCACATCAAACACGTACAACAATTTATTAAGTGCATGATTTAAACTGTCTACAGAGGTTATTATTTAAAAGATAATTAAGTAAAACGAGTTCTGAGTAAGTTCCTTCTTAACTTCTCGAAAAAAAAAGTGTTTGTTGTGTCAGGTTTGTATTAGTTTTAGAAAAATAAGAAAACTCTAAATCAACCGCTGGTGAGTCTAAAGCAGGTTTTATCTTACTCGAGCCATTTACATATCTGTAAGATACATCAGCTACTGAATACAAGACTTACAAAAATACAAGCTTCATTTTACAAGGAAATTCAGCATGGCAAGAATGAGGTTACGGGGGGAGGCCGAGACTATAGCTACGCTTAACCATCTGTTTTTTTTTAAAGTATTTAATGAATGTTAAAGCTGCTAGTATCATTTCTTCAGGAAAGTAATAAAATAATTCTTCAAAGTGTATTTTACATCAGATTCTCCAATAGTTAGGAGTGAACTGGTTTTATTACACAACTTACCAATGAGAAGAGGTATGTCTGCGATCTCCTGGGATTCTATTGCTTCTATAGGTGATTTCGGTAACTCGTCACCTATGAGTAAGTAAATAAAAATGTTTACAAAACGGACATGTTATACAAAAAGCAAAATCTCTTATATGGCTGTAAACTTACAAAGGAAACCAAAACCATTTAATATCTCACAACTAGGTAATTAACACTAAACCATTTAATATCCCACAACTAGGAAATTAACACAAACAATATTATTGAACCGCTCATTATGAAACAGCTGCATACGTTTATTTCAAAATAAAGTATTATTTTAGAGTTTATTTTTGATGCATACGCTTTAATCAATTATTGTTTAATTTGTTAAGACATATCAGCATGTGAAACATTCGGTTTTGATTTGATTTGTTTTGAATTTTGCGCAAAGCTACACGAGAGCTATCTGCACTAGCTGTCCCTAATTTAGAAGTGAAAGACTAGAGAGAAGGCAGCTAGTCATCACCATCCACCGCCAACTCTTTTACCAACGAAAGTGGGATTGACCGTACTTTATAACGCCCACACGGCTGAAAGGGCGAGCATGTTTGGTGGGACTCGGATTCAAAACCGTAACCTTCAGGTTGCGAGTCAAGCGCCCTAACCAGCTGACCATGCCAGGCCTAAAACACATTCTGGTAATAAACTGACTAATGTGTAGTGAGAGAAATGTCGATTTATGAAACTAATAAATACTACAATAAATATTTTTATGAAACCTGCGCAGAACTTAATTTACGCAAATTATCTAAGCAAAATGTTATAAAAGGAAAAGGTGCTAAAAAAATAAAATTATATACTGGACGTATTGGACTATCTACAAAATCTGATTTTTAGAAACAAAAACCAAGCTAAAAAAGTAGATATTCTATATTAATTAAACCCAAATATGACAAAAAAAGTATTCGTTAACAATAAAATATAAGTATTAAAGTTTATATAAACAGAATGAAAGAGTTAACATAACTGTTCACGAAAATCTGATATCTATAGACTTTCGTGTATTATAAAATCAATAGATAGATAACACTTTGGAGTTCTCGAAATAAGCGTGGTGACCTGTGTCACCATACGCCAGTTAAAAGTAAAATTTAATGAGAAGACAGGCATATTTTTTCCAATGACAACAACTTGTTAACCGAACCTTCAATCTATTGTATGTTTGCACGACTTACACTGTATTGTGATGAGGATGAGGATTATTGTTTGGTGAATGTTGGATTTATCTATAACAAACTCCGAAACTTAGGATCAAACATTCAATTACTTCAATGCTATTTTCTTCTTTCTCATGTGACATCACATTATGTTCAAAGATTAGAGCATGTGAAGTATTTGAGACATTTACATTTGTTTAATAACAATATGCTTGTTGTTACACATCATCAATAACATACACATAAACCAATCATCGTTTTTTTACTGCACAGGTGACCTGAAAATCCACTAGAATTACAGTATTTAAATAACTTACCTACATCTCAGCTTAACTCGCAGAATGTAATTAAGTCTCATTTTTTCTTCACAACATTAGAATAATCATTCGCACTAATTCTTAATGGTATTTGAACAAGGAATTTTCGTCTTAGTTATACATTTTTCAAACTTTTATCCCCGTAATTTGTTTTTTCGTGTTAAGGACAGGAAGCGCTTCTATTTTTAATATGAAAAAACTGTGGCTCACAGAGCTAGCGCTGATATTTCGAAGGACGTTTGTTGAAGCTAACACACACAGTGAATCATTTTTAAGTCCTAATTGTCCATATTAGAACTGATTATACAAGCTCTTGATCAAAAAAGTGATGAACTTTGACCTAACTTTACTGTTCATTCATGTATGTGTGAACGGTATAATTCGATAAGTTTTCATTTATGTTTGATCAAACTTGGTACAAAGTTTGAGTGTCCCAGATAGTATTGTTTTCATTTCTGCGTGTGTGTCTCTCGAAAAGTTTTCATTTGATTTTGTTCGAATTTGATACTAACATTTAATGTGTCACAAAGGCCAATTGAGTAAGTTTTGGCGAATTTAGTTCAAAGGTTACATTGAAGGTTAAGCAGTTTTCTTATAATGATAGTAAATAGAATTTTGAAAAACGGTCTAAAAATTGAAAAAAGAAAGATTGAGACAGAAAGAAGATTTTCTAATCTAAACACATGTTTTTGAGGGTAGGGAATTTTATAGGTTATTTCAAACGTCAAAAACATTGCAGGGTGGGGTTTGCTCCCCTTTGAGCGCCTTTCTAGTTTATTGTTGTTATTTATCACAATTGTTTTCTGTTGAACGACGTGCATTGGAATTGTGTGTTTTGGACAGCTAAATAACGAAACACATTGTTTGTTATGGTTGAGACACATTATCCCGTTAATAATATTGCCCCACTAATATAAATAATGCTAGTTTTGTGGCTAAGTACGTAATAAATATTAGGCTGCAGAAGTTCGAGCGTACATATTCTGCAGAACCTAATGAGCCTTAGTAGTTATACATATACAGTGGATGTTCCATAATGGAGTTTAATGATGAAATCTTTGTTATTATCGTTATTATGTTGAAAGAATGATACTACAGCAAATAGCACGTGCTCATTAGACATGTACAATAAACATTAAGAATTTCACAACGAGCACTTAACTTTGTTTTAACGTCACCACTTTTACATCGATACAGAAAACTTCACTTGCAAGATTTCATTTGAGTAACAAGAATGAATGAGACAGTAATTCAAAATATAACCACAGTCGATTAAACTAGAAAATAATGTATGTGATATACAAGATTTGGAAATACAGGTTCAGTATCACTTACCTCCCACAACTACGAGTTGTTCAGGGTAGATTCCTTGGATTGGCAGATCATTTTGATCTCGAATTCGAAAGGAAGGATCATCCTTTCCAAGGTAAAAGTTAATAACTCTCTGGGCCGAGAGTTGACGTAAGCAGTTTTGGTCTGTACAATTAGACCTTCTCAAGAAGAAAGCTTCATTGTGTCTGTTAGCTTCAGCAAAGGTCCTTCGAAATATTAGCGCTGGTCCCGTGAGCCACGCTTTTTGGAAAAGTCTCTTTGAAACAGGTGACGACATCATCGCAAGAATAGAGGCACCTCCTGCATCTCCTCCAAACACTGTTACCTTAAGCAACAAAAAATTAAGGAAAGAGATAAAAAGTTCTAAAATTGCGTCATGAAAGTGCTTCTGTTTCTCTCAAAAATCAATGATTAATATTACTTTAAAACAAATGATGATAGGAAAAGATTATAGAGATTAAAATCAAACACAATAAGCATATGTGATCTATCTATATTTACCTATGTAATGCTTTTCATATCAGTCTCTTTAAAAATAGACTGAATGTTACTGTTTTACTGAATAGACTCTTTTGACGCCGTTCTATGAAAACAAGTATATGATTATTTGAAATATATTATTAAGTTTGAATATTTTATCATATTTCAGTTAATATTTACCTTTTTGGGGTCTCCTCCAAAATTCTTGATGTTATCGTGAATCCATTTGAGGGCAGTAATTTGATCTGATAGGCCAAAGTTTCCGCCATTACTGCTATTGGTCGAATTCTTCCCGTTGAAAAGATCAAGGGCAAGGTATCCCATAGCGAGTATGCGATAGTTGAAACTAACAAACACTATGTCCATCATCTGAGCTAGTTTTCCTGAAGGACATAGACCATGATGGTGACCACTTCCGAACTGTAAGAAACCTCCATGAATCCACACCATTACGTCGCGATTTGCCTGTGAAAAAGGTTGAGACTTAATGTATTAAAAACATGAAATAATAATCATTCTACTGCAATATCCACCTATTTCATAGTTTATTATTACTAAGAGGATGTTGATAGCGTTCTCTGTATTAATTTAATCGCTTCCCAAATAAAAACTAACACTATGAGCTATTAAAACTTTATCAAGATCTCAACAACACTTCTGTATGAGTTATGATCAATATAATCCATATCTATAGATCATATGTCCCAGGTCAAGGTAAACAATGAATGATCAATTGATGCTGATCCAAAGGGAAGCTTAACAATGAATGTATCTTAGAAATACGCACTAAAACAAAGTCAATATTCAGTGTTTATTAGGGCTATGTCAATAATGAATGGTCAATGTTATGTGGACATAAGTCTGAGGGCAGTATGAATAATGAATGATTAGTGGGTGTTTTTCTATGGTCGAGGTTAACAATAAGTGTTAGTGGATATATATATACACCAGGTCAAAGTCAACATTCAATGTTTATTAGGGTATGTCTAAAGTCAACAAGCAATGTTTATTGGAGATGTAACTGAGATCAAGATGAAAACGAATGGGTAATTGATGTTTTTACAGGGACAAGATTAACGGTATAAAGTATCGTGCAGTAAACATAAGATATTATTGGCAGAAACAGTAAAACTGATACATCTCGCAGAAAGTTAATCCATATAAAATATCATGTGCACAACCAGTAAGTATAAAATATCATGAAGAGAGTCAGTGAGTATGAAATATCGTGGAGTTATCCAGTAAGTACGAAATATTATGGAGACAGTCAATAAATATGAAACATCGCGAAAAGAATAAGTAAGTATGAAATATCGTGGAGACAGTCAGTAAATATGAAATACCCCGGAGACAGCTAGTAAGTATGAAATATTGCGGAGACAGTCATTAAGAATGAAATATCGCGAAGAAAACCAGTAAGAACGAAATATCGCGGATAGACTCGGTAAATACAAGATATTATAGACAGAAACAGTAAAATCAAACATCACTCAGAAAGTTAGTCAACAAAATGCCATGCGCAGAAGAAGTAAGTATAAAATATTATCTGAAAAGTTAATTAGAAATGTCATGGAGAAAGCCAGTATGTATGAAAGGTATTGTAGAGAGAACCAGTAAGAATAAAAGAATCATGGAGAGAGTCGGTATAAAAGTATAAAGATATAAAGAGGAAATATGAAATATAATGGAGGTAACTGGTAAATAAGAAAATATCTCAGAGAGGGTCAGTTAATGTGAAATATCCTGTACAGACTCAGTAAGTGTAAAAAGTCAGTATGAAAGTATAAACGTAGAAAGAGGAAATATAAAATACCATGGAGAGATTCAGGATGTATAAAACATCATACAGGTAACCATTAAGTAACAAAATATCCCAGAGAGGGTCAGTAAATATGAAATATTTTGTACAGGGTCAGTAAGTATAAAATATTATGAAGAGAGTTAGTATATGTGAAATATCAAATAGCGGGAGAGAGTTAAAATGTATGAAATATCATCGTTCCATTCGATGTATTTTACAAATTAAAAAACAACATTGTTTTACTTTGTAGAGCTTAAAAGTTTAAATAAAATTTAATTTCCTAAATTGTGAGTAAAAGTCCAATAGCGCTTTGAAGAATCATAAGAACATCTTTCATTTGTAGCATAGTCTCGTTTACAGCTTTACAGTTCTTTAAAAGTCCAATAGCGCTTTGAAGAATCAGAAGAATATCTTTCATTTGTAGCATAGTCTCGTTTACAGCTTTACAGTTCTTTAAAAGTCTAGTAGCACTTTGAAGAATCATAAGAATATCTTTCATTTGTAGCATAGTCTCGTTTACAGATTTACAGTTATTTCATTACTTAGATATATTGGGAGATGGAAACCACATTAGATTAATTAGTAGATATCAAACAATGCTTGACCTGTCTTTGAACCCAAGGTTAGAGTGTTCTTTTAAACGACCTCCCAGCGGTCGCCTTTTTCCAATATATTCAAAGTAATCGATGAAGATGAAAACTAGACAATGCTGCTGATGAAGGAGACTTGTAATTATCCGAAAGAACCCGATATTAAACAATAAGCAAAGTGCTACTGAACTTTTTACTCACAGTTTTTATAATCTAATTCTGTTTTACTTTGTTTTTTTCAATGAATGACACATTTTACATTATCTCTCTGTTTGGCGCTATATCCTTAATGTACCAAGGTTAACACATACTTTTTGTATGTGAAGCACTTTTGATGTTTTCCTTGAGCTCAAATCCTATGATAATAAGAATAGGTAAATACGTCACACTCTCACGTGTAACATGTTTCATAATGTGCTCTAAGCAATCTTACCTCCCTGTCCAACTTTGGAGTCCAAACGTTCAAATACAAACAATCTTCTTGTCCTTCGTAATCCTTGGTGTAGGGATTCAGTTGAACGCAGGGCGACCCAAAATTTTTAGCTTGCACTTGATAATATGGTTTACAACGTTCTTTATCCTCCGCTAGAGGGATTGCATGTTTCCAACGATACTCTCCAGTAGGAGGTACAGCGTACGGGATTCCCTGTAATATCGTTTCGCTTATATTGTTCAAGGATGATGATTTTAAATACAACAAACTATTAAATAAAATTGCAATGTAAAACTTAACTGACGTTTAGTCAGGGAGCAAAATAAAGGCCGTTGGACTTCATTGTTGAAATCAAGCAACCTATTTGAACTTGTTTATTGTCAAAAAAATGCATAATGTCACTTTTACATCTGTAAGTGACCATGATTACCATGGTAACCCACCATCAAGTAAAAAATAAGCGCAAAACTTAATTCGTTTGCTTCTTTTAGAGCAAAACCACTTGCGACCATCTGCTGTGTCAACCATGGGGAATCGAACCCCGAATTATATCGTTGTAAGACCTTAAACTTACCGCTGTCCCATCGGGACACATTAAAGTAATAACTCAAGACCTGCAAGTGATAAAAACTTAAGTTAGTGGTGAACAGCCTTGAAGAGATGGCATTGTCTTCAGTTTGAGAAATGACAGAGTCTGATACATTTCATAATGACTCAGTTGGATTCATTGACTCGTGAGGCTTTTGTTGTTGATAATTTTTTCAATCGTTTTCTAGTGATCCTTATTCTTTCCATACCATTTGTTTCTTGTATGTTAACATGTGTGTCTTGTAAGTCATATACAGTGAATATTTTTTTCCGTGCCAGAGCCTTTCCAGGAAAAGAATAATGAACAGCATTTCTTTTCCAGTTTTAGATAATACTGGAGCATGTTTTTTTCTTTGTCTTCAGACATATCAAGAACTTTTGTGACATTAACAGTCCAACATTATTTTGTGATCTTGAATGCCTGTAGCATATGCATCTGTAGGATCTACTGCAGTGCCTAATTTCACTCTAAATGAAGCACCATTATTCCATTTAATGTCTGCAACACGAGTATCTGAATGATCTATTGTAGTGCTTAATTTCACTCTTAATGAGGCACAAGTTTTCCTTTTCATAGCTTCATGAAAACGTTTCCTGAGTTTTTTCTGTAGCCACTTTGTGCAATGGGTTCTTTTTTGATCCCTTACCATCACAAAAAACAAAGTTCTTTGTTACAATGTATAGATTTTGATATTGTGAATAGCAAAGGTACAAAAAGATGACATTCGCGGTAGAGTGTTCTTCATACTTTTTTCTTGCACGTTCACACTTTTCTTTACGAGTTTTATTTTTGTAGCAACTTTTATTCAATATTGACCTCATGAGATCGTTGTCTCTGTGTTTTCATTTTTATCCCTTCTTGCCGTTTCTAGTAAAGTCTTGTCGACATACATATCCCTTTCTAAGACACACACACTTCAGTACCTTTTCGTGAATAGTTGGCACTCTACTAGGTCTTCTGTTCTTCTGTTGTAGGGTACTGGTAAATTACACACAACCTGTGATCGACTGCGAGACGAAACTGCTTTGGCGCTTGTGCATGGGCCGTATTCCATTTTATGTTTTTCAATTTTACTCTGCTCTATACATTATGTTCTACAGTACAATAGGTATATTCTTTCTGAAATAAAATATTTGATTGATAACTAAACTGTATGTTGCCATTCCCAAGCGACTAGTCTTAGCTATCGTGATTAGAATTTTGGCCTGATAAGAATATATTCTCACCAATATGATAACTATCACCTGTATGTATATTAATTGTTGTATTTATCAATGATTCTCAAAACATCTGCAGTTGAAATTTGTACACCAAACATCAACGATAATACATCAAAATTATACTTAGAGTTTGTTCATATTCACATAAATCATTGTCATCAACCCGACTGATGATTGATAATCTATGGTTTCCAGGGATATGGTATCATAATAACATCGTGACACAAATAACGTATAATATATAGTAAATATGCACAATTCTGACATGTTTATGCATAAAGCTAGGAAAATGGTGAATGTCGCTGCTTGACCCTATAACTGACTGTTGCTCTGGAGTCTTAAATATAGTTTTATCATATCTAGTACCTTAGTTATAGCATTTTTGTTCCAAATTTGTAGTTGACGGCTACCCACCATGATAATCATAGTCGAAAACGGATTCAAAGGTGACAATATGCATTTTCTGAAAGTAGAATTTACACAAAACACTTTTATGTTATCGGTCCAAAGCTTTCAGCTAAAAAACTCTTCGAAACGTTTGGAGCCTTTTGGCCTCCAACTAATTACTGTAAAACATATTTAACTGAAATTATTTTTGAACAATGTATTTCACACATTTATCAAAGATTTTAAAATAATTTTAATTGGTTTCGACACTCATTATCATAACTAAAAGGAAGTAGCAATGTAAATCATATTATTTTTTAAAAAATAATATGAAGTTTCGAAACGTTTAACAACTTGATTTTCGTCAGTCGGGAATCAAATTTAATAATGACCAAAAGTTATACGACTATGGTAATAAACACGTTTTCAATAAGATGTTTCTGTTTTATAAAATCCATTATTTGCGAAGTATAACGGAAACAAATTAGAAGTTCGATATATATATATATATATAATACAGAAATAGAAATTAACATAAAATAAATTATAAGTCAAGATATTTAATTAAGGGGCCCGGCATGGCCAGGTGGTTAGGGCGCTTGACTCACAATCTGCGGGTTCGAATTCCCGTTCCACCAAATATGCTCGCCTTTTCAGCAGTGGGGGCGTTATAAGTTACGGCCAATCCCACTATTCGTTGGTAAAAGAGTAGCCCAAGAGTTGGCAGCGGGTGGTGATGATTAGCAGCCTTCCCTCTAGTCTTTCACTGCTAAATTAAGGATGGCTAGCGCAGATAGCTCTCGTGTAGCTTTGCGCGAAATTCCAAACAAACAAACAAACAAACAAATTTAATTAAGGACAGTTACATATACAACTACTTACAAAAAATTTATAATGAAGATAGTTGGAAGGGATTTAGGTTCATATTTAGGATTGAAAGTTCACTTGTAATCAAAAGCTCATTTTTGATCAACAATGGGGTGAGATTTTGAAACTTACCATTAAACGCGAAGAAAACCTGCTGTGTGGTTTAAGACGTTTGAGGAAAGAAAGTGACATTTAATGAAATTGACCCCTCTAGTTGCCCGCCTCGGTTTCATGTTCGGCTAACCTAAAATACTTAAAATATTCCTTTCTGACTTATTCCATTTAGTATTGGGTCTCATACGTACAAACTACATAAGTTTCGAGGTTTCATTCTAAGGCCAACCAGTAGTTCAGCAATAATCTGTGGACTTATACATTAAAAATTGGGTTTCGAGACCCGCAGCTGGCAGAGAAAAGGTAGCCCATTGTATAGCTTTGTGCTTAACAGCAAACAAACAATTCAACCTACGTTACCTTACAATCAACAAATTTGTTACTAAACATGATTTCTCTTTAGCCTAAGAAGTTTATTAAATTCATAACCTTTATCATTACATAATAGCTAGTTCAAGCATTCAGTTTTTATTTACTACTTGAATAAACAATTGAAATAATTAAAAAATATTTTCCAGTGAAAACAGCTATACACTAGTTTTAATTTCTACTGACATGACTTCTACTTAAATTTGCTCTTAGGAACAAACATTTTGTCTTCAATGCTCAACTCAATAAGGAAATGGAGTCATCTTCAGGGCTGACATTTGGAAACATACTTCTTTGTCACCATAAATGTTTCTTGCTAGACATGTGCTCCACAAAATACAAACCAACTTTAAACAGGAGCTATGTCGATAACTGTTACTTTTCGCAATATCAAGTACGTAAAAATTTCTAGATTATTCAAACCCTCAATATTTCCGTATTAAACGCATTTGAAAAATTGAAGAAAAGTATTCTTTTTATATCCAAGTAAACAGACTGAATAATCTAATTACAACACCTGTCTATCGTAACAAAATATTTCCAAGCTTATACTCCCCCTTTGACAGCATTATTCCGAAATCTTTGAAAGCATTTGTTTGTTTGTTTGTTTTTAATTATGCACAAAGCTACACAAGAGCTATCTGTGCTCTGCCCACTACGGGTATCGTAACCCGGTTTCTAGCGTTGTAAGTCCGCAGACATACCGCTGTGTCACTGTCGGCCTTTGAAAGCAACTTCTGAATAAAGTGTACATCAATTAATTTGATTAACTCTCTCTCGAATATGAAATAACCGCTTTACAAAGAATCCTAAAATAATGGTTATCTCTATTTATTTAAATGATTTTATTTAAATCATAATATCTAAACTCCTTAGAAATAAAATATAACGTGCAACGAAATCACGTGCTATTTCAGCATATCCAATAATATTTGTTACTCCTTTGAATATAGTTAGCTAAGTAGAATGCATAAATACTTGAGGCCGTTCTTTTCAGAATACCATTTGGGCGTCAATGTTGCCAAGAGATACCACCGACAGTATTTGCCCAAGAATATCTCTTTAAAATAACAAGATTAAAACACGCGTCTTCCGGTGTCAAGAACCAGATAAGGAGAGATTGAAAGAATGGGGAATAAATTTCGATTTATCAACGCAAACATTTCAGATGAAAAAAAAGATAGAATAGCACTAACAAAACGTTAAAGGTTAAAGAACTCTTAGGCTGTGAAGCATTTGATATATTTTACAACAGAAATTGTCTGCAATATCTAGAACGGAAATAAGTAAAATCATACACAGGCGAAGTCGGGCAATATGTTGCTTACATTAACATACTGAATACGATTAAACGTTCGAGAATAATGCAGATACAGGTGGTTGTAATCGTAAGAAACACTCGACAAAATTTATCATCTACAATATAGTTGAAGCGGAATTTGTAAAATTTCATCAAGCCAATGAAAGTAAAGGAGTACTAACATTTATTTTATGACCTGAATTGGAACAATGAAAGATTAGAGAGTCTGTGACTCATTTCGATCCACCATCGAAGTACGCTTCTTTTATTAAGTGCATATTAATCGGAGCATATTCCAAAGTAGTTTAGGAAAAACGCCACGTTCAGTCTCACTCCTGGAAAATCAAAAATAACTTCAAAATAAATC